CTCTCTCTCTCTCTCTCTCTCTCTCTCTCTCTCTCTGAAAAATTTTTACCTTCGTTTACTAGCTCCCAGTTTTTCGAGCAGCACTCTTCGGACCTGTTCCTGTCGAGTCATAAGTTTATTCGGTGCAGTGAAATGTTGTGAATTTTATTTTTTTCTCACAATTCATGTGCGCGTAATAAGATGGCGATAAACGATTAATCACGATGCTACTAATTACTTTGTTAGTGTGCTGAAGAAAAGCAAAGATACTTTTTAAATTAACGGTTTTATTGCATCTTTGGACATACCAAAATGTGATTTTAATATAACTATATATCTACAATAAATAGTTTTTTAAATAACTAGTTAGACAATTTTCTCGAAATCAAGAGTCGCTTAGATTATTCAATGCCAGATTATTTCGCTATAATATCGCAAATGGTGGGATATAAATTAATTATATAATTACTTGATATGTGATGTTACGTAATCGCAAGTATTACTTTCCAATTGCAAATAACATCTGCAAACGTAAACGTCTAATTAACACGTAAACGTCTTTTTTCGCTTCGATTTCTAATTCTCAATTTTGCAAATATATAGAAATATGCAAACGATTTTTATCATTGCAAACACATATAAATACATATGCATAATTGTAGTAATTAGTTTTTTATGATATTTTTATGATATAATAATGCAAAAAAAGTTACATTAAAACTCAAAATATTAATTTTATAGCGTTGTTATGAAAATTATAGAATGTATACAAGGAAACCTGTAGTAATAGTTGCCGATGATGTGTCAGAACAAAGTTGCATAATAGGACGGATAAGAAACCTGGATAACATCGCACTGTGCAATCAGGCGACTAATTAAATATTCTCAGGTGATCTCTGCGTGAACCTTGCAACTGCACGCGAACTTGTTTACGCTCACTTATGTTTCATCACCTGCTGCTTCGGAACACGCGTGCTTTTCACGATGAATAATATATTATCAGGAGCGCGTCTCTTTTTCGCGGACTGTCGGACGCCGTGAAACAATTTAGTTAAGTTTCGACCGACTCGTCGAGCATCTCGAGGGAATGTTTATGTGCTTCTTTACAGGCGAATTCATTCTTAGCTCCAGCAGTCAAAGCGGAAGCGGAAGTAGCATCGTCGACGAGGACGGCCCGCTTCTCAACGAAGCGTCATTGGCTTTGGACAATCATCCCTTGGCTGGCTTAACCGATGATTCTCTGGGTCTAAACGACACTTTAGCGCTCGAGCATGACTTTACTTCAGAGTTACTCGAAGGTGATCTTCTGGGAAGCGCCGGCGTAGACGGTCTTCTTAGTAACGATACTCTGGGCTTGCCCGACGAATTTAATCTCGAGGAGGCGCTTCAACTCGTGGGCCTCGATGAGGCTCAACCAGAGGTTTGTGAGATAGCTTCGTATCTTTTACTTGGAAGTAACTACAATTTGACGCGTCGTGAGAAACAGATAATATATCTTAGTATTTCGTCTTCTTTGAACATCAAGCTGGCTAGTTGTGTAACTTTACATGCTCCTATTTTTGCAGAAGCATTGTGTATCATCATTGTCTTTTGTAGCATTGTTTTATCATATAATCGAGATATTTTAATCTCTCGATTAATTTTATAAGCCGCATTCGTATAAGCATTCGTACAAGATTAATAAACAAATTATCTTAACATCGATTTCGACAATAATGAAGTTCTCTTTCTTTTTCTACTTAAACATTATATAATATGTAATTCTCTGTGTTAGGAAGCTTAGATATTAGTCGAGTCTTTCGTTGAGAAAGAATCATTTATATGAATGGTCAGATGTCTTGCGTACTTTTACTCTCGCGCAATTAACGCGCTGTTTTCGTCGAAGCTGTGACAGTGTGATCATTAGGATTGATTATTAGGAAACGAAGCCGGAAGTGAAGAAGAAGAAGAAAGAAGACACCGCCGAGGAGTCCGCAAGTGCAAAGGGCGACGCGGATATTACCGTCTCGAGTAACGTCGAGGTCGCGAAGTCATCCAGGTGCGAGGATCCCGAGACCGGCGACATGATTCACACACCACAGTTTCATCATCCCCATCATCCACACCACCGCTCCTTCCAGGTATGAACGACCCTGATTTCAGTGCCGGTAGGTTAGAACGTGTGCCAGTGCCTCTCATTACTGTGTATACAATGTCATGATTGCAACAATATAATGATTTATGTACAAAGTACACAGGCTTCTCAGTATTAAATGTGTATGGTACATAAATAAGTCAATGAAAGAATATCTCGAGCCATCCGCGATTTCCGAAGGAGTATTGCGGATGTTAAATTATCGCCTCTGTAATAGCGATCTTTGACGTCACTTAATATATCTCAATAATCCCCATGTAAACAAAATTGTCAGGGTTTTAGTTCTATTTTAAACCATTTCGCACCCAATAGTTGTACTTTGATACACGATCGCAGTTTATCGGAGAAAATTGTTCGGCTTGTGATAATATATTTGATTCAAGCTACTTTTCTGACTTCATTTTAAAGATGACAGAAAAGATTGACAAAAAATATTCTCAATGTTATAACAATGGACGATAATAAGGCTAATGAAACTCAGCGCTGTAAACGATGCACAAATTATATTATTTAATCTTAACTTTGTTTGGAAACTTTTTATTAATAAACGAAGTTAAGATTAAATATGTAATTTACACACCGTTTACAGTGCTGAGACTTATTAGCCTTATTATTGTCCATTATTAGTTTTAAAGTTCCTATTAGTATCTTGAATTGTGACGTCGGGAACATATGATGAAAATTCTTGCAAAATACTTAAATAAAATATTTAAATAAATTAAATAAAGATATTTTTCAATAAAATTACGTTTACACTCAATAAAACAGACTTATAAAGTATACCGAAAATTCTTCTTTTACTCCGGTAATCAATAAATAATCATACTTAGAAAACATACTTAGAAAATGAATTGCTAATCAAGAAGAGTGCCACAATTTAATTCCGAATATACATGGTTATTTATTAATTAATGGAGCGAAGAAAAAGTTTTCGATATATCTTACAAGTCTGTTCTATTGAGTGGAAACGTTATTTTATCGATAAAAGTTTCTATTTTAATTTATTTTGCAAACATTTTCAACATGTGTTTTTTCGCTTTTGACGTCAATTAAAGATGGCTGCAGTGAATGCAGCTTTAAAGTATTCCTCACGATATGCTTCGCGAACTGCAGTTTTGAGAGACGCTGAAAGATGCACGGATGTTGTTACCGAGAATAGCCATGGCATTTGCGATTTTTCGACATTTCCGTTAATGAGAGGTTCGAAATGGCGCGATGATACCGCGCAGGGCAGCCGGTGATATACGAAGTAGGAAACAAACGTTGAGAAGATAAGAACGGCGCGCAAAGCCGCACAGTTAGAGCGGCATTTACGGTCCATAAACGAGACACTCTTTATTTACAACGTCGACCGCGAAAACACCGGTGCGGCTCCATTCCCGCGGTTCCACACCCTCTTTCAGAGGGCCTCCACGATTATACGCGATGACCATAACTGCATTTTAATATAACGAGACGTATTAAAAATAGATTGCTTCCGCAATTTGAACTTTTTATCAAAAATTTTAATTCGTGAAAACTTTTATTCTTATAGTTGTTATTAATGTGTCGTAATTAGAACGTTGCAATGAAGAAAGAACGGTCAAAAAAAATTCTGATTTGAGATAAACACATTTAATATTAATTTTTTTATAAAACTGGTGAATACTATTTTCTTAACATTTATTAGGAAAAAATTTTTACCGCTTTTATTATGTTTTAAATGTATCGTGTTTATCATATCATAATAGCTCAATTTGCAATTTAATTGTACATATTGTGCATCTAATTTTCAAATTTTGTTTAAGTGTGGAAATTAAAGATAATGCAGTCTGCTATATATTTTCCAAAGTTTCGATTATATTATTTGAATTTGTGTATATCAACTCTTACACGGATTTCATTCTGGCAATATAAACACGGTAATCATCATTATTGTTTATTTTTTTAATAGGGCTATTATACTACTTTTTCACATTTAGAATCTGTATTTGACAACGTGAATTCGAGGATGTGTTTTTATCGTTCGCAAAAGAGCAGCTTGCTGATTATAATTACTTGTTGGATTGCTGCGACATCATATGATTTTTCCGGAAGAGTTTATGATTTATCATCAATGATATTTTGTGCATGATGAACTGCAATGAGCACACAATAGTGATTTATTTCTTTAGAATTTTTAGAAATTTTTTGTTCAATCATAATTATTTCCAAGAAAGGATTTTGCTCATCATGCTTAAACTCCTATTCTGTTATCTTCTTTTATTATGTCTAATTTTCTTTTAAAGAAAAAAAAATTAAAATAATTAAGTCAAAAAGATATAAAAACTAAATCGAATCTAATGCTAAAATGTTATTTATAATACAACACAATAATAATAAAACATATAGATGTCATTTCGACCGTTTTGATATTATTATTTTTAATTATTATAAACAACATTTTAACATTAAGAACTATCTTAGTTTTTTGCTTCTTTGGCTTAATTATTTATTTTGAAATTTATTAAGCGTTTCTTACTTACGAATTTTAAACTTAAAATATTTCTTATATTTTTTCTTTACTTTTAAAATTTGTTGTTGCTAGAATTATGAGCTAAAAGATCTGTTATCATCTTATGTTATCATTTTATTTTATTTGTTATTATGTAAGAGATATCACTCTATATGTTTGAGACTCTGTCTGCTCATTTTCACTTTATAGCATTATAGAATTTTATAGCACGCACAGAACAAGTTTTAAACTCGAATAGATCGCGCCTATTAAAGAAAGCCATATGCGTGAGCTTGATGCTTCTTAAACCGACTATTCCGTTTGCGACGTGCATTTTATATAGCATAAATTAAATTTTATCACAGACAGTAGCTAAGTGACATCGCGAATATAATACAAATGACAATTTAGCTATAATCGTGATATGCATATTTTGCAATAGGATAAATTATTTTGCTTTTCAATAATTTAAAAATTTGGAAAATATGCGAACAAACTACATTATTTTTAGCTGCTTTTAAAATCTTGCTAGTTACTTTTAAAATCTATAAAAATCTATAACATAAAGATACAAGTATTTAACACGCAACTAAATATTTAAATATGCTACATTTGCACAACGAATTTCAATAGCACGTAAGATAATAAGATAACTAAATCGTACATTGAACTCTTAAAATTCCGTTCGTTTATAAGCGGATTAATGTAATACGCGAAAGATGTAACTCTTTAAGCCCGAGTCACGCGCCGCGAATTCGAAAGCATTCTGAACTCCCCTAGAAAGTTGACGTTTCCCCGGACGGACTTGAATTCCGATGCTGTTGTCCGGGCATGTCGTACAATGCGCCTCGTCGAGAAATCTCATCGTTGTAGGAGAGGACGATCGTGACAATGACCTACCCAGATAGTCCACGGCAAGCGTCCGTCCAGCGGGACGTGACGCAACGAGCGTGCGTGTGCAAAGACTTCTTCGCGTGCACGTGGAAGAACATATCTGAAAAGCCCCGCCAATGGGAGAGGTGGCACGGGCCCCTACTACCACGAACCGCGGTGGACGCGATCGCGATGTTTGTGATCCTGGACGCGTCGACGCTGACACTCGCGGACGACACGCGATTGGAAGTGAACGCGGAATCTCGCGGAATAGTCTGCTCCTCCGAAACGATCACCGGAGAAAAGGCGGTCTCGTTGGCGAACATCCGCCTGGTAGATGGGCGAGATAAACGGTTCCGGAAGGTTTCTTTAGTCGAGCCCGATTCTCCGCTGATAGTGCGACGATAGTTCGAACGGTTCTCGTAGAAGAGGAAAAAGAAGAAGAAGAAGAAGAAGAAGTTAAGATCTCGCTGGAAGAGACCACGCCTTCCATGAGGATACCACCAGATTTCCCGCCCAAACACCATCGGGAAGATATTCCGTCAATGAAAAACTGGTTGCAAAATGAGGACGTTGGACTTCCGCGATCGCTTCGTCCCGGTCTTGTACGTCTGACGAATCAATGGCCACGACTCTTCCACGAAGAAAAGTTCGCGATTTACATAAAATTTCGTACGCCTGCGGTCTAATCTCGAGGATCTCTCGGTGTTACACGAACGATAAATTCTATAATGCGTAATACGCTATCGAGCCGAAGATTAAACTACGTGAGATGTAAGTGTGCGAGTGATAAAGCCACCTAGTACAATGACTATCTCTATAAAACGCATCACGTTCATTTGTACGAGGCTCAAAGCGATTTGAACGAGGCCAAGAAACCCTTCTCACGTCACTCCGTGAGACCGCCCACGTTGAGTACACAAATCTCCTCGTCGTGCCTTTCAAAATGATATTTCGTATATCGCAGAATCGCCAACGGACTAAGATATTCGTCTGAATGCAAGAATAATATTCTAGAATAACACAGATACAATGAGATCTAACAAAAACCGTACCTGATTAAAATTAATCAGAATTTGCATGCCAACGGACGGACGTGCGATTCCTGCCGCAGAGAGAATGGAAATTTCTGTAAAAGAAGAATAATTGTTCCTTTAATAGTATTTTAATTTTCGAACGTCAGTACGAAGCTGCCGGTGCGTACCTCGTGCCTAATTCGTTTTTCGAGTGAAGAGGGTACACATGAACGACGTGCAGCAAGCCCTCGTCAAACCTCATCCGCAGACGAACGAGTACACGTGCCAAGGAAATACAGAATGTTGGAGTGTGATATTGGACGAAGGTCTTCTCCAGGTAGATTACACTAATTGCGCAATATTTATTACGATAACCAAATAAAAATTCATAATATGATAAGAGATACGATAACCGCAGTCATCCACGTATGGATGTACAGTAAAGTAGGAGGAATGAAGATTGGCGCAAGGTCTGACGAACAAGGTTCCGTGGATAAAAAAAAACATATATCGGAGTTAATAACTAAGAATACTTATAGCAATGGACTGTGTTCGCTACGATTAATTCTAGAAACGCAAACGTGTTTTTCTTACGAGAAAAACTACATAGCTTTTGTTCGTAGG